GTGAGTAGGAAAGAACGGGTGGTATTGAACCTTGGTGCGCTCCAGATACCACACGTGCTCCTTGCTAGCGTGTGTAAAACAAGTGGGAAGCGCTCTTCTGTCAGGTAGCATTTTTTGTCCCCTTTGTACTCCCTTTAGCTCAGTGTAACCAACAGTGTCAGTGAAAGACCATGTGGAAACCATGTCTGTGGCCACTGACTGCAGCTTATTGCCAGGGTGCCCCTGTGAATAGCAGGAAGCTTTCCTGCTTCTGATGTTTAAGAAGATGCAGATACCATTTCATAAGTGAATTCCTCCTCTTCCTTGACTTTCCATCCCCTGCCTCCAATCACACTCTCTGCTGGCCAAAATCCAGCACAAGGAGATAATGTACTGGCATCCTTTATGTTTAAAGATTACACAACAGCAAAAGGAGTTTAAAATTATAGGGTGGTTGGGTTTTTAAAAATTGTAACATTTGTGTCCTTTTTCTTTAATATTAATTTAATAATAACATCGTATTTCCATGGCTTTCAATTTTTTTCCCTACTACCAAGCTTGAGGGCTAGCAACTTGTGGACCTTCTAAATTCGAGTCTTGCAAAATCATATGAATCCAAAATTCTGTGCTTCTAAACAAAATACCAAGAACAGTAAGGAAAAACATAAAAAGAGGTATGGTAGTGTTATGGCAGAAGGTAATCTTTTTCAGGGACATCAATTCAGCGCATTCCTGGATGTCTCTTTATGAAGTCCAACCATTTAGAAAGAGCTGCTTTGGTCATATACACAAAGATGCCTTCTAACTCATCCCCTCTTCAGCCTATCAAAAGTAGTATCATATCACAGCTGGGTACGTCCCTTCTGTTGGGATATGAGCTGGCAGAGGTAGCCCTTATCTGACTCTTGACATGATTTTCTAAATTAAATCCAGCATGAAAATGAAAACTTGTGCTGTACTCGTGACAGATGCAGCCGCTCCCATGTAGTAGTTCACCTGAATTCGATGCTCTGGGTTTACAGCCCCACAAAGACCTTTGAGCAGAAGATCACGTTTAACATCTTGTGGGTTCCTTCATGTGACAGCGACTCCGGCGAGTGCACTGTCTTAAAGCCCTGCCACATTCAATGTGTGTGAGCACAACCTTGTTTCCACAGAGGCTGCCTGCTTTTGGCATTCACTGTATGTTGGCAAATTTTGTGAGGATAAAGAGGTTTTTGGGAAGAAAGAGCCACATAATACTGCTCAAAAAAAATTCCTCTTATTTGGCCTTATACTGGAAATTGTATGAATACAACGAATCTGCCCGAGGGCAGATACCGCGATGCAGATAAAAATAATTGTACTTAAAACATAACATCCACCATTCAGTGAGTAAATAAAGAGCAATGCAATGCAGAGCAGGCATTAAGAACTCATGTGACAGTACTGTGAAATGTAGAAAATCTTTGATTACGTGGGTAAAAAATGAGAGAGAAAATGCATAGTAAAGACAAACAGTATTTAGAATCATAGAATGGTTTGGATTGGAAGGGACCTTAAAGATCATCTAGTTCCAACACCCCTGCCATCAGCAGGGACACCTTCCACTAGACCAGGTTGCTCAAAGCCTCATCCAGCCTGGCCTTGAACACTTCCAGGGAGGGGGCATCCACAACTTCCTTGGGCAAGCTGTTCCAGTGTCTCACCACCCTCACAGTGAAAAACTTCTTCCTAATATCTAATCTAAACCTCCCCTCTTTCAGCTTAAACCCATTTCCCCTTGTTCTGTCATTAACTGCCCTTATGAAAAGTCCCTCCCCAGCTTTCTTGTAGGCCCCTTCAGGTACTGGAAGGCCGCTATAAGGTCTCCCCAGAGCCTTCTCTTCTCCAGGCTGAACAGCCCCAACTCTCTCAGCCTGTCCTCATAGGAGAGGTGCTCCAGCCCTTGGATCATCCTGGTGACCTCCTCTGGACTTGTTCTAACTGGTCCATGTCTCTCTTGTGTTGAGGGACCCAGAACTGGACACAGTACTCCAGGTGGGGTCTCACGAGAGCGGAGTAGAGGGGCAGAATCACCTCCCTCGACCTGCTGGCCACGCTTCTCTTGATGCAGCCCAGGATACGGTTATTGGCCTTCTGGGCTGCAAGCGCACATTTTCTGCTCGTGTTGAGCTTCTTGTCCACCACCACTCCCAAGTCCTTCTCTTCAGAGCTGGTCTCAAGCCTGTCAAGGACTGTGAGCAAGTGGCCAAAGCATTAGGAAAGAAATCTTACTTAAGGCCACAAACTACTTTTCAAAAAAATGTCCCAAGTGATCAGCATGAACACAGGTTCAGTAACAGAGGAACACTAGTTTATTATCACTAGCATGATACTGTTTTTATAAAAGGTAACTGGATATTTGTATTTATTGATTTTTAAAGTGACAAGGCCCACTGAATCATCTCCTGTGCTTTACAGACTAATAACCACCATTTGGTTTTGAACCCAGTAATTAGTATCTGGCCAAAACAGTGGTTTTTACCTGCCACATCTCAAGCCCAAAAGAGAGCAATGGGATTAGATGGATTTGTGATGTATTAACTAATGTAAAGAAAGCTACTGGAAGAAAATCTTGCTTTCCTAGCCTCCACACATGCTGGGCAAGAGTCTTGGGAAGAGAAAAATGTGGGGAAGGGGACAGGATTGAAGGGCACTGGCCTCCCAGACTGTCTTTCCATCTCCAAGCAACTCAGATGTTTTACACATACTATAAGTGTCGTGGCCACAGGGTGCAAGTCTTTCAGAGACCCTCTGTGTGCCTCCGCTGGCTTCAGCTGCTGAGTCCAGTTCCCTTCCTCCTCATTTCAGCAGAAGCACCCTGCCTCCCCAAATCTGGAAGTCAAACCCTGCCTCTGCTCTCAAAGTATTCAAGTCACCTTCCTGAATTAGGCTTGCTGCAAGAAATGAAGCAGTGAGACACTTTTCTTTAATTGTCCTTTTTGGAATTCATATCACAGAATCACAGAACGGTGGGGGATGGAAGGGACCTCAGGAGATCATCTAGTCCAACCCCCCTGCCAAAGCAGGTTCCCTACAACAGGTTGCACAGGAAAGTGTCCAGGCAGGTTTTGAACATCTCTGGAGATGTTCTACGTATGAAAGTATGATACTCAATTAAAAGCTTGCCAATCTGAAATCATTGAGAAAATGAGACAAACCCCTTCCAGAAATGTGTCCCAACTAATCTGAGGTGTAAAGCAAGGAGAACACTAGACAGGCATCTGACTTTTGCCTGGCCTCTGCCACTGATTCATTGCAATGCTTTCTGCAAGTAATTTATTGGGCATCAATGTGTTTATTGATGGAGGAAAACCAGTATTTATTTCCTTTCACAGAGTTTTCCTGAGTCTTACTAACTACCACTTGTGCAAATCTTTGGATGAAAGGAATTGTAAGAGTTCTAAGCTCTTAATATGTGTTACTTATTGTACTTTAAAACAAATGTCATCACACTAGGTAGGAATTAACATTCCAAAACCCATAGGGTGGGTACCTTTTCATACACATATATATAAAAGTCACCAAGTGACCTACCTCTGAGGAAGGCCAGTTGAAGAGAGGTGAGTCTGAATTCACTCGCAGAATATTTATGTAGAGCCAGAAGCCTTGATTGTGCTTTGATTTAGCATTTTGTCAATATTGTGATTGTTACGTTCTTCCTACTTAAGGCCTGTGGTGATTTTTGTGATGGGAGGGGGAAAAAAAGGCTGATAACTTACAACTTTATAATATGGCAAATTTCTGCATGTGGAAACAGCTACAACCTGTAGCTTTTGTTGGGGGTTCATATGGATTTGCCATTGAATTAATAAGCATTGGGTCAAGCTATATTGATCCAGACTTGCAAATACTCGCTTTTAGAGCTCAGACTGACCTACTGCACGTACCCAGCTCCAGCCGGGGGTGTTTGCGGGCCTGAATAAGCTCACTCAGGACAAGGGAGTCTTTCTGATGATGCCAGGGGACTATTTGTGTTTGTGCATCCATGCAGCTTGGTTTGCAGTAAAAACGCAGACTAGAGAAAAGGTCACGCGTTATTAAAATCAGTGAGGCATTTTCAAGTGTTAATAGCGTTGTGAGATGATTGCCTACAGGACTCATGGTGCTTTTTGTATTTGAAACCCTCTTGGGGAAAAATAAACATTTGTAAGTCATAAAAAATGCTCGGTTTAAATGCACTCACCAGCAAGGCAAGTACAGTCAGTGTTTTTTCCAGCTGACAGCTACTATCTGATGACATTTGGGGATTTTATTAATAAGCACAACAGAAGCATTTATTACTAGAGTGATTATTTGCCATTATCACACACAGGAATTAATGCAGAAGTGTTATTTCACCAGCAAAATCTTTGCCTTGCATGCTCTAAGCAGAGGGACATATTACTTGATTTTTGAAAACTTGTTTTTCCAAAAATCCTATTGCCTTTTGAACAGAGAGCCAAAGGATGCGTGCACTCTGTAACACATTAGACTTCAAGCACATATAGAATTAAAGCAAAGGTACTGTACCTTCTCATCATAAAGACACGCTCCAGGTGTTCAGGAGCGGCCATGTGAGCAAGTGACAGGGGCTGAAAAATCCCTGCTGACCCAGGCTGCTGATGGGGACCTCCCCGCTCCCAAGCTCCCCAGGCTCAGCCCTTCTGTCTCAATGTGATGGTGTAGTGGTACACAAGATGAAGGAGATATTCAGCTGCAGGAGAAGCCTGTATCCCCCAAACAAGGAGGAAATAAGGAGCAGATGGAGCTCCTATCACTGGCTTCTCCTCCCACCGCCCCTC